TTTGGAAAGAATTTTAGTTCTTTGTGCGTCCAATCTGGGTGCTTAGACTGAAGACAAGTGGACAAGTGTTTTCAGGCTGCCTGAGCCCCAGTTGCTCCAACCTTTGAAAATCAGGAATGGTCTCTTTCCAAAATGGTAATGCAAATAATCTGAAGCTTCAAAAGGTTTGAGCAAGATTAAAATACAGAAGAAAAAAAAGATGTATTCAAAGGAAAGGCAACACTTCATATCAGGCACTTAATTTTAAGCACCTGTGACTACATTTTGAACTGTAGCCAAATTACTATCATCTTATAGAGGACAGAGCCTGTTATAAATGACAGAACCCCCTGTCTTTTTCAGCCACGTTGTGACTCTGAAGAAATTCAGGGGAAAGAAATTGTATTTATTGGTCTAGAAAGCATGGTCAGTGAGAAGTGATTGTGAAAGGACTACAGGATGTCTCAGACTTATTTTCTATGATTTTACTCATAGTATCTTTCCTGTATGGGTTTAATGGGCTTTATAAACTTTAACTAATTCATATAACTTCCTAGGAGATAGAAGCAGAGGAATCAGTGGGAGAAAAGTCTCCCAAAGTCAGAGACATTGCCAGGAGATGATTGCCATTTAAAATTAAGTTCTCCATCTCCATAAAAAATTAGAATGAACAGTAAAAAAAGAGTACATAAACTTTGGCATGCTAATCCATTGAATTCTAGAAATAGGGAAGTACTCTTTACCAAAGGGAAGAATCAAAAAAGCATGAAGAACTTCTGCAACAAAACTCTCTAACTTCATCTGGAGCTTTCTACAAGCTGTCACAAAAGTACCACTGAGAGAACTAAAGCAGGGGAATCAAACCATGATGTGCTTATATTACTCCATCAGTTGCTGAATGTAGGAGAAAACGACCTTTTTGTGACAATAATGCCCTGTTATGTGCCTACTGCAGTCAGGCTGTGGGGATACACTTAAAGGCACTGAAATAATTTTCCTTTTTTCTTGAAGAAGTATCTTTTCCTGTGGAGGGAAGGGGATGCCGTAGACAAGTCACTAAAGGCAAAAATATTGGTAATATTACCAACCAGCTTACCTAAATAGAAATGACTGGTCTTCAGCTATATGCCAGTAAAACTATAGCAAAGACGAGACCTTGCAGTTCATCTCATTTTCTAGGCTTTCCATGGAAGGAAAAATGCTGACTTCAGTCCCTGTTTCGAACCTGTTCAAGAATTTCAGGCCAAGCAGAACAGCATGAGGGAAGGTACATACTGAGGGAGTTGCTTTCCTGTTGCGCCAGTGTGCTTCAGCCATTTTTTATGATGAAATTGAATGAAGCAGATCTTTTGTGCTAAAAGAGGAATTCAATAAACATCTTAATGAGACCTGTTCTGCAGACTCCTCTCGAGCACCCTCACCCACAGCAGCTGCCATCAGACATTTTGCTGACTGTCTTCAAGTTTACAGGGACATGCATGTGGCAACTTCGTTTGGGCACAAGGAGGAGCACAAAGCAGACTTTTGCAAGGTCTGTTAGTAGGGAATTCTTTCCCATCTCCTTCAAACTGGAAGGTGTAGGCTGCAGGAATCATCTCTCCCATCCTTACTTGGTCGTTGGCTAGCTAATCGAAGGGTTCCCTTCTAGTCAAAGGACAGAGGCAGGTATTTGGAGAGGGTGGCAAACTGTTTTAAGTTACTCCACCTTAGACTGGAATTAGTCACCTTATGTAGGGAGCGCTCTTTAATGATATAAACAGCCTTAGGCAACAAGTTCAGCGTAGACAGCCAACCTGTGCATTCATAAAGCTTTCAGGTAACTCGAATGAAGACTTCAGGGCTTTTGGTGATGAGAAACCATTCACTTTGGAAAAAACATCAAGTAAAATACTTTTGGTTTGCTGTTCTTTGGGGCCGAGGTGATTTTTTAGCAGGTAAGCCTGATAATGCTGTCTACTTCCATTGCTGAAAAGGAATAGATCTAAGGTAGATCTAAAACCCAGGTGGTGATGCACCCAGAAGCTGGAACAGATTTGTTATGGCACTGTGAAGACTGTTCTCTGCTCATGCCCATGAAAACTGCATATGCTACCTATCAGCCTGTAGTAGTTTTTTTTTTTTTTTTAATATTTGAAATCAGGCAGTCTCTCCTGAGGTATAACCTAACATTTTCTCTGCCTGAGAAAGAAGCTTAAAAAAATTAGGGCCAAAGGCTCTGGACATGAGCCACAACGTGGAGAAGCTGTGTCAGAACACTGTGACAAGTGAAAAGTTTGTCAGCTAGCTTGAGAATCAGTGTGAAGGAGGAGAACAGGTTCAGTCTCTAGGGGGAGAGATGGACTGACCAGCTGACACTGCAGTGCACTGGGATGGATGAGAAAGGACACCTGGTTATCTTCTTCAGGCCAAGAGAAGGAAAGGAGCTGCTGACAGAGAAAGAGAGAGAGCAAGCAGCTGGGCACAGGAGTCATCTAAGGGCCACCAGAGTGGTGAGCACACCTCTGAGATTTTTTTGGGTTCTTAAAGAAAGTTACAGCTAGGGCACGCTTCAGAACTTAGTGGCATTATGAGGTCATTTCAGCAGAAACTGCAAACCACAGAAAGTTTTGTATCTCACTTCTGGGTTAATTTATTAATGTTTTTGGGGTTTGCACTGGATAATGTATTTTGGTACAACATATTTCTAATTAAGAAGAGCAAAACCCACACAAGGCAGAAGGTGGTGTGAGGTTGTTTCTGTAGCCATGGTTTTAGTGTAAGGACTACAAATAGTTGCCATGTGAGGCCACAAATGAGCAATGTCATTGATTTTGGCTATTCCAGCTATTCTCCTTTATAACTGGAACTTAAATAAGAAAAGGAGGTAATACATACTTCTTACCTGGATCTTTTTAACTCTGATGTCAAACCCCAGAAAATATTATGGAATTTCCCAATGAGTGCTGTATCCTGCCACACTGAATTCAGTGGTGGATCTCAAACATGTGGCAGATTTCTCGTAACCCTAGTGCGGGGTGGGCAAAATGGAGGACATCTGAAATTCAGTCTCACACCTTCTTAAGTTTGGGCTATTCCATGGTAAGTCAACAGAACTGAGGAACACTGTGAAAGCTCTGAACTTGGCAATCATGGCTGGAGAAAAGCCAGGAGGAATCAGAAACAGCACCACAATATCCATTATTATTTTGCTTTTCTGTCAGTGCACCTGTGCAGTGCTTTGCACAGCATTAGTATACTTCACTTGCTTTGAAGGTTTGGGAGGTGTTTTTGAGGATGTGCACATTTGGCCAAGAGGCCTTGGAGCAGAGCAAGGTCAGACCTGGATAAGGTTACAGTGCCACAGGCATCATGCTACAAAAGGACAGAGAAACATGAGACAGAAAAGTCAGTGAAACATGTTAGATGAGAATCAATAGTTAGAAAGTTCAAACCCTTCAGGACACAAACAGTTCAGAACCAGGCAGGGAAGTGTTACTAAATGTGAAAAGTGGTATTCAGCAGTTTAACTGGCAATCTGGCATCAACTGTTTCAATACAGCTTGGTCTCTGGAGAAACAGTAATTGCTTTGGATGTGCAACATCTCATTAGATCTGTTCTACAAACAGCAATAATTTCCTTATTCCATCTCTTCTGAACAGTGATCACATTTCCACTAATTTAGTGGAACAAGATTGAGCTATATATTTTGGCATATATTTTCACAGTATCACACCAAGCCCCAGGAAATCTAGGTAACATTAAACCTGACTGTTACTTGGTGCTTTTGCAGTGGTATTTGCAGCTGACAACATCTAAGCACATGAAAACTAGCTGATCTGGTTATGAGTTGATTGCAAAATTTCTTTTACCATTTTTACTGTGTGTCAGAACCTTGAAACTGAGGAAACAGTGCAACTGCTACCTGCTTTATTCCAAGATTATTACACCTGCAGAGAAAAGTAGATTGTTGTTGACAAGTTTCTGCCTAAAAAAAAAAAGTATGATTGAAGAAGTGGCACTACCAGCTCATTACTATTATTATCCTGTGAATGTAGTGCTCTTTTCCAGAACTCTTTCAGAGCATACACGTGCAAAAATTTTGAACATTGTTTAGTGTCTCCATGGATTCTTTCCACCACATAAGAAGAGTAGCATGAAGTCTTGTGGTCCAAACCATTGTAAATAAAATTTCATGTTTAGAGAAGAGGCACAATGCTTCTGGGTGCTTTGCAGTGTACAAGTGCTTTGGGGTGATGCTGGGTGTGTTTGTGTCTCTGTTCTGGTAGTTTTTACAACAAAAGGGGCAAAATACCTACATGTATCATTCCTTTTCACAGCCACATTATACAAAGGAGGAGTCTGCTGAAGGGAAAAGTGTCCTCAGAATCTGCAGTCTGGCTCTGTGAGAGATTGGCTGTGCTTGGGCAGAGGATGTGAGGCTTGGATCTACACTCCTGAATTCTTAAACAAAGGTATTTTAAATACAGCAGTGGAAGATGGGGGGAGAACTCTTCAGTGAGCCCAGCAAAGCACTTTTTTTACTCTTTGGTTGAGGCTTCATTTGGGCTGAAGTCTCCTACTGCACACACACACACACACAGAGTATTATTTAAGTAGAAAATGTACCAAAAAAAAAAAAAAAAAAAAAAAAAAGAAAAAAAAAAGAAAAAAAGAAAAAAAAAAGTAGAAACCAGAGTTTGATCCTTGTCTTGTAACCTGGAGAGAATCTTACTGCTCATTGTAAGGAAAGTGCCAGTGGGCGTGGGCTGGTCAGACAACATTTCCATTATCCCTTCTTCTCAAAATATCAGTTAAAGTAGAATAAGTTCTGTTTTTTGTCCCTTCCTGATCTGAAAGATCAACAGGGAAAATGATGGTAAGTGTCAGTGAATGTTTTAAACAGAAATACTTTCATCCAAATTCCAAAATCTGGCCACAGAGAGAAGATACCTGACCTGAGATGCTGACCCATGTTTCTTTTCAATCATTAAAGTCCCTATGCAGTCCAAAAAACCCACAGAAATGCACCAACAGAGAGCTTTATTTCTAAATAGAAGTCTTCTGAGAAGTAAAACAACATAATAATTGAGTTGCAGGACATTTCTTCTCCATTGGGGAATAAAACCTAGAAATGTTACTCATGCTATCTATAATAAAAGAAATAAGTATTTTCTATACAATATAGTTAATAGCAAGAAATTTTTGGCACCAAGCTTAAATTTTTCTCTTTTTTTTTTTTTAATTTTTAGGAAGGATAAAAACATGAAATTATATTTTCAGAAAGAAAGGTAGAATTAGAATAATATTTAAAATTTTTATTACCTTAAAAAATAAAATCTTTGACAATATCCAGGCTGTGTTTTCCCTGATTTCAGGTGTTCTCTTGATTAACTTTTAAAAATGTGTGTTTGCAGTAATACTACTGCAATACAAATGTTATTTTTTTCCTGTGATTTTTTACTGGGATTTGGAGAACAAAGCTTCCTCAGCAGAAAAGTGGAGATAAGACTTATTTTGCTGAAGAGCTTCAGGGTGCCTCTCAATTCAATCAGATGCATTTATGTGATACCCACTCAAAAATGCGCAAAGTCAAAGTTTCCTCATCCTAATCAAGGCTTGTGAGTCATCAGGCAGACTATCAAGAATCAAGACAAAAAAGGTGTAGCTAATGTTTATCTGAAGAAAGCATTTTTAAAATGGTAGAAAATGAAGATGTGGGAAAAGAGAAGGACCCTGCTTTGCTACAGGCCATTTTATGATGGTTACATTTAGCAGCAAGCGCTGGAATCTCAAAGTTGGAGCTCCCACAGCTCCCGGGGTGACGCAGAGCTCCCACCTTCTCAGAGGACAACATTTTCTAGTGTAGGATCCTCCACGAGTGACCAGTATAGGGGGCACCTGGAGCCATTGTTTTGTTATTTTTGGAGGCATCACTACCAAAGGCTGCTCTGGGTGACAGCACTTCCAAGGATTCCAGGGCTGTGTCCCTGGGACCATCCCACAACAAGCAGGATCCTGTGCTGAAGGGGCTTTTTGTCTGGGACCTGAGGCAAAGAGGAAACTGTGACAGTGTCTGAGGTGATTCCCTCTTTGCCATATGAGGCAATCCCATGCCTGTCCACTTCCCACTTTCCAGAGGCGTGTCACACACTTGGTCCCAGGGATGTAGGGATTCACCTTCCACAAGGCACAGCATACTTGGGGTGAGGCAGAAGCGACACGTTTGTCAGAGGAGAAAATAGATACTAAAGGAAGCAGCCTGCTTGTATTAAAGGAGCTCTAAAACTTAATTAAAATTATTCTGTGGCAATGTATGGCCACCATTTTACAAACCCACTGCTTCTCTTGGGAAATCAATGTCACAAGTTCTTATGTGGCAGGTCACAGCGTATCCCAACAGGAGGCACAGGCATACTGCATCTCCCAGGGGATGCTGCACACATGGCACGACCTTCAGGACCACAGCAGACCTTTGGCCAGCCCCTTCACCAGCAGAAGGTGACTCAGGTGTGCTCACAGAACCCCTGCACTGTCAGACCAGCCAGAGAGCTGGGAGGGTGCCGAAAATGACTGTCCAGCCCCGGCACCTCCGGCAGGGCTGGCGAGGACGCGACCACAGGACTGAAGGAGTCCTTTGAGATGGGCCTTGAATGTCACTCCAGCGAAGGCGTAGATGATGGGGTTCAGGCAGCAGTGGATGAAGGAGATGGTTTCTGTCAGCTGCAGGGCCAGCGCTATCTGGGAGCTGGCCTTGCAGTCATTGATGACGTGCAGGCTCTGCAGAGTGTCCAGGAACAGCGTGATGTTGAAAGGAGTCCAGAAAAGGAAGAAGACGATGACAATGATGAAGATCATCTTGATTGCCTTGACCTTGTTCCGGTTTTTGCATTTTTGCAGGTTTTTTAGTATCTGAGTGTAGCAGCAAACAAGGATGCTAAAGGGAATCAATAGGCCCAAGATATTGACTGTAAACTGAGAAGCAACCTTCCAGGTATTGTCACCTGGGGGGTACATGGGGACACACTGCCACGCCTGCTCGATCTCCAGCTCCTGGCTGAACATGATGTTGGGTACAGAAGCCAAGCCAGCCAGCAGCCACAGGATCAAGCTGATAATTATGCCACAAGTGGCTGTCCGTATCCTCATGGCATAGACAGCATGGACAATTGCTATGTACCTGTCTATGCTCATGAGGGTTATAAAGAAAATACTGCTGTAAAAACCTGTGTAGTAAATGCCAGCCATTATCTTACACATGGCATTGCCAAAAACCCACTGGTCTGAAGCGTAGTGGGCTTGGAAAGGGAGGGGCAAAACAAAGAGGAGATCAGAGGCTGCGAGGTTCAGCAGGCAGATGTCAGTCATTGTTGTCAGCCTTTTCCTGGTCAGGAGAACCCAGAGGACCAAGGAGTTTCCCAGGAGGCAGAAGACAAACACAAGGCAGTAAAGAATTGGCAGAAAGAGGGATTTAAACCTGCGAAAGTTGTTTCCTTCGTTACACGGAGCAGTGTTTTCATCGTATCCATAGTCATATTCCGTTGTGCCAATGAATTGGCTGGTGGGATTCATCTCAGATACCTGTGTAGGAAAGAGAAAGGATTAGAAATGTCTGGCTGTCCTGGCACAGCACTCCTACAGTGGGTTCTCCTTCTGTGTGGGCTGTGCTGAGCCTGTGGATCAGCCTCCAGGCAGAGGGGGACTGCAAAATGCAGTTTTGGTCTCACTGGCTGGACGAGAACAGCTGTACCACCCAAAGGGCTGCCCTACAGCCTGCTGATTGCTACTACACAATCCTCCTGTGTGAGCTCTGGGATGCTCTTGTTTTTCCTGAAACTGCTTTAGTTCCAGTGGACCAGCCCCTCATCATTACAATGACAGGGAAAAATTCAGGTCTCTGAATAGTCACAATGATAAAAAAAAAAATACAAATCCTGCATCTGATCTAAGGATCTCAATTTTCTTGTGCTCCCTGGGGTGGGGAAGCTTTTTGCCTGTAGCATAAAGATGCTCATAAGAGTGTTTTGCCTGATGAAGCTGTCACCAAGCAACATAACCTTTTTTTTAGCAGAGCTTATCAGGGCTAGGTACTGGCACAGAGGGCAGAGACATGCAAGCTACTTTTCCATGGGTGGGTCCAGGATTCCATACAAAAAGCTCTGCAGCAACAAGGAGTTCGCAAGGCTGCACAGCAACACTTGCAGTGCCAAGCTCTGAGCTGCCACCAACCTCCAGGGCAGCTGGTGAGCAGCTTGGCTGTGCCTTTTGCCACAACACAGCAGCTTAGTGCTCCTGCCTGTTCTGTCCAGCTTCAGTATTCTAGCACAGAGAAAACCAAAACATAGCAGGAGTGGCTCCTTTCTCTCTCATTTCTGAAGAATAGCAATGAAGGTAGCCTCAAAATAGTAAAATAATCTGACATGCTCTCCAAGACTGACTCAGTGCTTCAGCCAACATTTTCATTGTTTCAGATGTCAGTTCATGACCCCTATAAAAGCAGATCAGGTTTCCATACTTGAGTGTTCACATTTTACAAAGTGATGATTCTTTCAAAAGAGTTTTATTTTTTCACTAAGGCATTCATTTTCGCTAAGACATTTGAAAGCTTAGGCTGTGCTGCACCTCTGGTGCACCTGCTTACAGGTTGACCACATCTTGAAAGAGCTTCAAAGACATAGAGTTTCCAGGAAAGAAGAATAATTTGTAATAATTGTTGCTGTTAAGGTGAAGCAATAACATGAATGGAAGTGATAATTCTATAGAAGTAGATTATGTGCTCTCCTGAATTAAAGATTGCTGCCTGGAGATACAAATAGAGAGAGAACAGTGAGAACTTTTTGTATTGATAGGAAGGAATCACAATTCACCCCTTCTTGCCTGGCTGTGCTACCTGTGGGGGGAACAGAACGATCTGTATGTACAGCCCAGAGGAGTGCCAGTGTCCATCCTCTGCTCCAGGTATGGATGCTGCTCATGCCTCACTGATCTGCCTCAGCTTTCCTTGGGGCACCAGAACTGTTTCAATTGGTAAGCACAATGCAGAGAAAACTGTTACAAGTACAGCATTCAACCCCACAGAATTTCTTGTTCAGAAATAACAAATAATGAGAGAAAAGCCGCTCTGCAACCCACATCGACAGTGTAGTTCTCTACTACATTGAGCTCTTAGCTGTAGCTAGGACATCTGCATTATTAATTTTAACTTTGTATAAGGCATAAATCTTCAAATATTTAGTTGGTGAGTGACTAGATAATGTGGCTCTTCTTGCAGCAACAGATAAAGGTAAAAAATGTTTCCTGCTAATGCTTTTGATGTGTGAAACTGATACACCGTGACTAAGTGATGCAGCACTGGCTCTCGCTTTTTAATTGTCTGTCAAGGACTTCTTAAAAGCAGTGCATAGATTCAACTACCAAAACTAAAAAATATTCAAAAACCAATGAATACCTTGTTATAAATATATAGATCTATAAACATGTAGATAGATATGTAGAGATAGGTAAATCTAGATTTATAGCTAAAAAGCATCTACTTCCAGAAAAAATCAAGTGTTTTTCCCGGGCTAAACAGAGACCAGAGATGTTCTACTTCAGACCACCCTTACACCATTAATGCCTTCAACACCTCCCAACCAGGCCACAGCATTTTCCATTTTCCCCCCTCTCCACATCCCTCAGCAGAACAGTCCAACTGGAAAAGCAGTTTTATGGAAGGTATCAAGGGAGAGGTGGCTGCTGCAGATCCCCTGGTTGCCACAGTCAGCCCAGTAATAGCACAGTGAATGTGGATGCACTTTACCTCTGACAGCAGGAAGCCTCTACTCTCTCAGATGGCCCTGGCCTCTTCTCCTTGTGCCCTGCTGCTTGGAACCAGGGTTTTCCAGGAGGTTTACTTCGCTTTCACTTGGCTTGTGCAGAGGGCTGAGAATTTGTGATATGTGGCTGTCGAATGGGCAGCTGCCAGACACAGGATTGGCTTGGGGACAAATAGAAGATTTTGTGTCTGTGGTAAACAGGAAAAGAGTGAGGGGGGTATCAGGCACCTTCTGCGAAACAAAGACCAAATGCCTCTCTTCAACACGGCAATGGGTCTTTTTAACGTGTTTGATAAACCCCCCTTCTTCACAGCCTCACCTGATTTACGGGAAAAATTTAAAAGTTCACATGTCTCCACCACAGGAGACACCCTAATAAATTTGCAGCTTTTTACAGAAGCTGATATATAATTTCCACTTTTAGTTAGCATTATTTCATTTTCTTCAGCTAGTAGCAACTTGTATCCTGCAGTCTGTTTATATCCCTACCCATTAAAAACTCATCAGTATTTTGAGCAAAAGAAGAACTCAAAGCTACTGATACCACTTAGCCATAATTTTTGAATCAGTTCTTATGTAGTGGGGGTATTTCAGTTTCTTTGCTACCTTGGGGTTTTTTTTCAAGTTTATTTTATTTACTTGAGGATGGAAAAAGACAAAATATTGAAACAAAAACAGGTTTGATAATTTGTATTTTATTCAATTGCTTTAAATTACTTATGCCTAATGGAACACTAAAATTGTACATTGTGGTGCTTTATAAGTCAGACAAATTATATACTTTTTATCCTTTAATCTCAACAGGCACAATTTTCCTGACTTTTAAGAGCACAGGGAATACCAGAGGTTCACCCAAGAAGTCCCAAACAAGTATGTGGCAGATCCAAAACAATTTTTACTGAAGTTATTGGCATGTTCTTTGGTTGCAGTTCCAGTCCAAAGTACCTTCACATTGTTGTTGCATAAGTGAGTAGTGAAAGAGTCTCAAAGAGAAGAAAAGCTAAATACTGTAGGGGGAAAGAAAAAGAAAAGTGGGAAAACAGGCTGAAGGACAAAAGCAGTAACGTAATGAAAAACCTGGTACTAGTTGCTAGCACAGTCAGAAAAAACCTGTCCTGTAATGAGGTATTCAAAACATTAACAGTGACCAGGGCATCATCCTGCCTCCAAGTACCCAGCTGGCCTTATTACACAAGAGAGACCAGCTCCTCTTATTCTGTTTATATTTTTTTCAGAACAAATTTTTGAAAATTGTTGCAGCAGAGCTTTTTTTTTATTGTGTTATATAGATATTACTTATATTATTAACAATCTGTCAGTAGTATGTCCTGGTGTTACAGACACACAGTATGACATAATGTAGCATTATTCTATTTAGGTTTATTTATATTTGTTTAAAAATAAATAAGGTCAGCCTTCATTATTTCTTAGGAACAAAACATTAACAAATTAAAGATGCCTCCTCTTCTATCATATGCTTTTTTGCAATAGTTTGGTTGATAAGTTATTAATACATATAAAAATAAAACAATAGTTTGACATGGAACCAATAAAAGAATAAAACATTTCTGCATTTTAAAACATTCATACATATTCTAAAATTGAAAAAATATTGTATTTTTTTCTAATTTTCTGCTGCACAAATTATGATCTTGCAAAAAGATTTCAGTTCTTTCAAAATGCATAATTTAATTGAGACATCTCCCAGCTGTGTACTTTTACCAGCCACAATTCTGCACAGTCAGGCAAAGAGAGGCATGAAGCTGGGAGAGGCAGTAGGGAAATGCCCCATGAGTTGCAGAAAACTGGAGCAAGCAAGAAGATGCAGATGAGCTAATAAGTGAGGAAAAGAGCTTGAATTCAAGAGAACAAAAGCTGAAAGAGAAGTGAGCAGGCCTGGTGACCGATATGGCTGGAGGATGGCTGGGCTGGCTGCTGTACTTTGGGCACACCAAAGCACATGGATAACAGCTTGGTAATAAGGAGAGGGAGGAAAAAATTGTGGTGGTGCCAGTGTTTTGAAGAAAACAGTAGAATTATGGAGTCTGATGCAACATTTCCAAGAGTACCTCTGCTGTGTTTTGGGAAGTGATATACAGGTGTGAGTCCCTGGCCCTACCTGGCTTTCAGGAAGGTGTATGTGCCTGCAGCTGCTTCTGTGGTGGTTTGTGTTCCTGACACACAGCTGAAACCTGAGCTTTTGTCAGCAGAGAAAGGGAATTTTTGAAAGGAGGAAGAGGATGTCATTTGTCAAAAGCAGTGAAAGGAATGGAGTAGAGATGAGTTTAGGAAAGGTGCTGGTTTTGACTGGCAGGTGTGAGCATGGGTGGGAGGTAAAACCCACAGGGCTGGGCTTGAGAACTGAAGAGAATATAATTATGATGTTGGCTGAAACGGAGATAACTACAATGATGAAAACTAATAGGAGATGCCTATGTTGGGGGACAGGGAAAACCCACAGACAGATTTTCTTCTTCTTCCCATGTTGAGCCCTACTGGTTCTCCTACAGGCAATCCAAGAGGATTTTGGACAAACAGAACCCTGCTGAGCTGAAGGACAGTAGAGACAAATAACCACCAGCGTGTTCACAGACGTGGGGTGCTGCAAGATGCAGGTGTGCTGAACTTCCCTTGAAAGATCAGAGGAAGATATCTGGTTGAGGGAGGAGGAGAGGTACACATTTCCAATTTCCTTCATATCAGCTATGAGCAAGGCTGTAAGGACTTGTATCCTTCTCAGCACTTTTTCAGTCTATGAGTAGCAAACACCAAGCCCTGAGTTACACAGGGGCTACACAGTCAAACCTGAATTTTCTACCAAGCCAACACACAGCCCTTTGTAGTTCACGTGAGGAGGAAAACAAAGAAAATGTGGTAAACCAGCAAGAGTGTTAAGATAGGAACACAGAAGTTAAAGGTCATCTGCACTCAAAAGTGCTAAACTCTGACAGAAAGTGGTGCAGAGAGGCTGCAAGGTGGCAGGACAGGCAGTGCAAGGGCTCAGGGTGGTAAAGCAAGATCATGGAAAGGAGGTAGTTTCTACATACAGACAACCCAGTGAAGACATGGCCAGGGGAAAAGAGGATTTTCTCACCTTCAAAGAGTACAGAGTACAGCCATATGACAGTAATATTTACCCCCTTGGACTCAAGTGAGTTTGCTCCTGGGGCACTGGGTCTGTGGACCCAGCTTGCTGTGGGAGGAGAGACAGGCAGCTGGTATAGAATGGTCCTTGGTTAAATGTCTGAAGGGAATGCATCATCAGGGGCTCTCATAGCCAGGGATAGGACAGCCGGCACTGGGCAATCCCCCCCCAGGGCCTCAGGATGTTCCCAAGGTGCTGGGTGGCAGCTGAGGAGCAAGAAGTTCTCAAATCTGCTTGTTAAGATCCTAGACAAAATCCACCCCAGAGCTTTCTTCTCCAGGAGCCCTGACTGCTGCCCTGCAGTGTCCCTCCAGCTCAATTTTAGCTGGTCCCTGACACCAGGGCTAGTGATACTCTCCATACTCCTGTGGGATTTCCTGTGGGAAAGAAATACCTTACAGCAAACCAGAGACATCTGGCTGTGGGTATCCTGGTGCTCCAGCCTAGGGCCATTTTGGGTCCATGCACCCATTTAGTACTGTGAGTTCAGAGGGGAGAGAGCCGTATGGCATCACCACTTTCTGAAAAGGCTAGTGCAGGCAGTCCCCATTCAAGTTTAAAAACACAGCAAAAATATTGCTGTATGAGGAGCTTTCTGTTTTGTCTGCTGATGTTTTGGCAGTGGCTGACAGGGTCAGCCAGCAGCAGCCACCACAGCCCCAGAGGGATGGCAGGGCTGGGGAGTCTCCAGTGTCTGTGCACCACACTGCTCACATTTCCCTTTCAGCTGCCGCCACAGCTATTCCTTTATATGCACTCAAAGCTGCAGTTTCTGCTGTTTTATCTTCTGTCAGAAAAGTTGCTTTAGTGTGGGAAAAACTCCCATGCAAGCCTTTATATAGCTGAAGACACTGTCAGCCCAAAAGCGATCAGCACATTGGAGTAAGGCAGAGTTCCACTTCTCCAAACTACTCGGAGCCCCAAGGTCAGGGAAGCAACGCTTCACTGCAGCACTGTGTTACATGTGGCAAATGCTGTAACCAAAAGGAATCTTGCTGTGAGACAAACAGCATGGCCACACCTCCAGCTCCTACAGCCAGAAATGATCACTGGCAGTGGTGACACCCCGTGCACACCAGCTCAGCCTCTGGCGTCAGTCCCAGAGGGTTTCATTATCCTGTGCCGTCCCTGAAGTTCCTTAGCCTTGGGGTGATGGTCAGCTGAGCTCCTGCAAAACCCCTATGCCTGCTCTTGTAGGAACTTCTCCTTCTTCCTACAGATGGACTAGATGAAATGAGTTTGAACACAGAAAGGAAACTGTAGTTGCCACAGAAACCACCAGCAAGAGCTTGCTTTGGCCTCAAGCCCTGGTATCACTCTTGTTGTTTGCCAAGGTGGATAGGAGGCACCATTCTGGTAGCAGCCATTAGGAAAATATGGCAAAAAAAGCAGAGTGAGAGAGCCTACCTGGTAGGATATTTTCCAAGAAAAGGCTGAGGATTTCCTGGATCTGCTTGCTATCATAGCACCCGTCTAGAAAATGAAGGACACGTTTACCTCAATGTGATGCTCAGCTTCCACCTATCTCAGAGCTGTGGTAAGTCAGGTGCTGTTATCCAAGAAGATCACTTTCCTCTGCCTTTGCTCAACAGCAAAATAAAATAAGTTTCTTAGTCAAAAGGAGGCCTTTCCCTTTCAAATCTGCTCTCAATTTACATCTCAGAGGTCTTACTGTGTCATATTGGAAGAGGGAAGAGATGACTTAGTTCAGCAGAGGAAAACAAACAGTGTTAACTGCAATAGGGGTTTAGGATGTTCAGAGATGCTGGGTTGTTCAGCTGAAATGCCTTGCAAAATACCAGCAGTCATCACTGTTAGAGAGAAAAACAATGAGGACAGCTCAGTTTTGCAGAAGGTAGCAGTGGAGGGTCAGGGTGAGTGTGCTCTCTGCAGCGTCAGAGCAGCCTGGCAGGTAGTGCTTTGATGACTGTCCCACTCAGATTCCTCCTCCTGGCCATCTCTCTGTCCCAATAAACCTCTCCTAAGTGCCTCTGCTGCCTGTATGGACCAGCAACCGCCCTTCCCCAGCTGCAGCAACTCAGT